TGTGTGGGATGTGATATGTCGTGTGTGTGTGGTGTGTGTGGGATGTGATATGTCATGTGTGTGGGATGTGATGTGTGTGTGTGGTGTGTGTGTGGTGTGTGTGGGATGTGATATGTCGTGTGTGTGTGGGATGTGATATGTCGTGTGTGTGTGGTGTGTGATATGTCGTGTGTGTGTGGTGTGTGTGGGATGTGATATGTCGTGTGTGTGTGGTGTGTGTGTGATATGTCGTGTGTGTGTGGTGTGTGTGGGATGTGATATGTCGTGTGTGTGTGGTGTGTGTGTGGTGTGTGTGGGATGTGATATGTCGTGTGTGTGTGTGGTGTGTGTGGTATGTGATATGTCGTGTGTGTGTGTGGTATGTGATATGTCGTGTGTGTGTGTGGTGTGTGTGGGATGTGATATGTCGTGTGTGTGTGGTGTGTGTGAGATGCGTGGTATGTGCTGTGATGTGTGGTGTGTGTGGAATGTGAAGTGGGGGGGTGATGTGTGTGTACCCCCAGGCACAGCGATGTCCCTGGAAGGCCCCTCTGGGGGCGGGGTGGTGTGGGCACGGTGGGGATGGAGGGGTACAGGCGGGAGAGTCACAGGGTCTCGTGGGTGCCTGTGCCGGGATGGCTGTGAGCCCGCTGTGTGCCCATCACCTGGGCGGGCGGGCTTGTGTGGACACACACATGTGCAGTGTGTGACAGCAGGGAGCGGGTGCGGTCGTTTGTGTGCAGAGCGCCTGTGGGGTGTGGTGCGCGTGTACCCAGGTGCGCCCCACACAGGCGGCGGGCAGGGTGCGTGAGTGCGTGGCTGGGGCGGGTGTCTGGGAGGGATGCCTGTGCTTGTGGGGGCAGCGCCGGGAGAGGGGTCTCGGGCCGTGTCTCTCTCCTCTTTAGACAGAGCCCCGGAGAAGATATGAAATTTAAAAAAAAAATCAATTTTCATTCCACTTGTGCAGATTGTGTTAAGGGGAGGTGGGGATGGGGGGGCCTGGGTGAGGGATGAAGGGGCTTGGGGGGCGGGGTGAGGCCTGAGGCGGCTCCGGAGGCGGCCAGCACAGCTTAGAGAAATCAAAACAACTGGTTAAACCCCCAGCCCAGGGGGGTGAGGAGACAGGCAGAGGGGGACAGAGAGACAGAGAGACATGCAGAGACGGAGATACTTAGAGGCAGAGGGAGAGAGGACCGGCAGACCCTCAGAGACAGACAGACAGACAGATGCCGGCACCCAGAGGGGCACTGGGAGAGACAGCAACACAAGCAGGTCTGACTACACACACACACACACACACACACACACACGCCTGAGAAGTCCACGGATGGGTTGGTGGACAGACAGATGGACAGGGCAGAAGGGGCCCCAGCCGTGGCCTTGGTCTGTCTCTGCGGGGCTGTGGTGCAGGTCCCGGCTGTGCCAGTCATGTCTGGAATTTTGATCCGTGTGTGTGTGTGTGTGAGCGTGTGTGTGTGTATGGGTGTGAGAAGGAGGGCAGGGCTCGGGCACTGGCCATCTGGCTGCAGCTTTTCCTGCTCCGGTGTGCACCTGCTTGGCCCCCCTGTGACCGTGCACACACTGCTGGCTCCAGGGTCTGGGGCAGTTGCGTGTGTGCTGTTGTGTTACTGGTGTGGCCGGGCAGCACTGTGACTGGGTGTGTCTCTGTTCCTGAGTGACACTGCCTCTGTGTGATCCGGTGCTCGTGGGATTGTAGGTCTGCTAGTGTGTGAGATTGTGTGTGCTTGTCTCTGTACTGGATTGAATTGGTATGTGTCTTGTGTGTGTATCTGAGCAGAATTGTGTATCTATGTGTGTGAGTGCCTGTGACAGCTGACATCTGAGTGTGGTGCTGGTGTGTGTGACTGTTGACCTGTGGGTTTATGCTGTGTGGGTTGTGTGTCAGTGTTGGTGTGTGATTTTGTGGCATGTGCAGGTCTGTGTGATGTGTTATGGGACGTGGTGGGGTGTGATTCTGAGGCGCGTGTGTGGATGTATGGTGGGACATGGTGGGATGATTTTGTTGGTGTGTGTGTGATTGTGAGATTGGTGGGGTGTGATTTTGTTGGGGTGTCTGTGTGATGTGTTGTGGGACATGGTGGGGTATAATTCTGAGGCTTGTGAGTGTGTGTATGTATCATGGGATGTGGTGGTGTGATTTTGTTGGGGGGTGTGTGTGTGAGATGTATCGGGTGTGGTGGGGTATGATTTTGTTGGGGTGTGTGTGATGTATTGTGGGATGTGGTGGGGTGTGATTTTGCTGGGTGTGATGCATTGTGGGGTGTGATTTTGCTGGGTGTGTGTGATGCATTGTGGGGTGTGATTTTGTTGGGGTGTCTGTGTGATGTGTCATGGGCTGTGGTGGGGTGTGATTTTGTTGGGGTGTCTGTGTGATGTGTCGTGGGCTGTGGTGGGTGTGATTTTGTTGGGGTGTCTGTGTGATGTGTTGTGGGCTGTGGTGGGTGTGATTTTGTTGGGGTGTGTGATGCATCGTGGGCTGTGGTGGGGTGTGATTTTGTTGGGGTGTCTGTGTGATGTGTCGTGGGCTGTGGTGGGTGTGATTTTGTTGGGGTGTCTGTGTGATGTGTTGTGGGCTGTGGTGGGGTGTGTGCCAGGGCTGGTGTGCGGGTGTGTGCGGCTGTGCTTGGCGATGAGGGAGGAAGGCAGCCCGTGTCTGCCCAGCCTCTCTCCACACTGCTTTGCTCACACGCACACATTCAGTGCCATGGCTGCGGGCGGTAGAGATGGGGGGCGAGGGGGGGTGGAGGAAGCAAAATAAAATTAAAAATTAAAGCTTGCCCGGAGTCCCCATCCGCACCGCGCCGGCCGGCGGGGCGGGGCTGGGGTTGCAGCAGCTCCCCCTCCACAGCCACCGGCTGGGCCGGCCGTCCGTCCATCTGTCCGGCCGCCCCACCAGGCCGCTGCCTGGCCCTGCAGCCCCAGGCCCTCAGGCCCACTCCCTCCATCGGTCGATCGGCGATCAATGGGGCCAGGGGGGTGCCAGGGGCAGGACGAGATCAAAGGGGCCCCAAGAGGCGGACGGTGGGACGGAAACAGAGACGTGGAGATGGAGACGTGGAGGCAGAGACGGGTGTGGAGACCGGGACAGGCTTAGAGACGGAGCGGGGGAGGCGGAGACAGGGAGACGGAAAGAGAAACTGAGCCCAGAGACCCAGAGACACCGCCGCTGCTGCTGCCGCCTTCCCGGGCAGCACAGGCGGGAGGCGGGGCGGGCGAGGGGACCCAGCCCCAGGGCCAGGCACCCGGGGCCCTGTGGGGCCTGACACGGGACAGAGGCCAGGCACAGAGATGGGCAGCGTGACTGCAGAGACCCTGAGACGGCAGAGACGCGTGTGAGAGACGGCGGGGTGGGGGGAGCGTGGGAGCAGGGCCCGGAGCGCCGATCCCACGGCTCCTCGTTATAACGTGTCCGGAGGAGGCGGCGGGGAGTTGAAAGCGTCGGGAAGAGAAATCAAAACCAACACGGAAATGAGAGGGGCCAATAGGGGGTGGGGGTAGGCGAGGGGGGGTTGGAGGAAGGAGGGGGACCCAGGGAGGCCGAGTGAGTGCAGGGGAGGGGGTGATGGGGGAGAGGGACAGAACGTGGTGGGGGCACAGAGATGGGGGAGCAGAGACAGTGGAGAGAGACGGGGAGAGACGCGGAAGGAGGAACTGGGGAGGTGGAGAGGAGGGAGGCCTGGGAGCCACCTGGAGGAGCGGAGAGGGTGGGAGGCGAGTCGGAGGGCCGGGGAAGAGAGACCGGGAGAGACCCCCAGGTGGGAAGAGGTAGGGCAGAGGGAGACCGAGGCAGAGAGAGAGAGGGGGACACGATGGCAGGAGACAGAAGGGAGGAGAGACCGGGGAGGGGGGAGATGCAGGGGATGGGGGACAGAGATGGAGAGATGGGGATGGGCTGTCAGGGCGGCGGGTGTGGGCTGGGGGCGGGCGCTGGGGCGTCTGTGGGGAGACGCGTCCAAGCGGCGGGGTTCTGAAAAGTCCTGTCCGGTGTCCAGGGGTGAGGCGGGGCTTGTAGGGAGGGCAGGCGGGGGTGGGGTGGTACTCCGAAGTGCGGGGTCTCTGGGGAGCACGGGGTGGGGGGTGGAAAGGACATCTCTTTAAGGGACTTTAATGGGGCAGGCATCAGAGGGAGTCACAGAAGTGCTGGGAGAGGTGGGGTCTGCACAGTGGGTGGTGAGGGGCTGGGAATCTGGGGGGAGGGGTCTCCCGGAGCCCTGCTGGGGCTGGCCAGGATGTGCCTAAAAAAGGGAGTCCGAGGGGGCAGTGTCTGCGTTGGGTGAGAGGGGACTGGGTGGCTGGGTGGGAGCCTGCCGGCGAGGGGCTGAGCAAGGGGGGGCCTGAGGGGACTGGGATCCAGGGGGATGGGTGGGGGCTGTCTGAGGGGGGAGGCAGATCCAAGGGGAGGGGGCTGTCTGAGGCAGAGGCAGATCCACGTGGCAGGGGTCTCCAGGGTGAGCAGCAAGTCTGCAGTGAGGGGCTGCCCTGCCGGGCGGGGCGGGTGGCACACCAGGAGGGCAGGGGCTGGGCCTGCCCCTCCCAGCCCGGCCACTGCCCACTCTGGCCAGCTCTGGGCCGCCGGCTGCCGCCGCCGCAGGAGCCCACCGAAGGGAGCCAGCCAGTGGGTGGGGGCGAGTTTCGGGCGGAGAAGATAGGTGTGGGGCGGCCCGAGACAGACGGAGAGCCCGCAGGTCAGGCGGGAGACGGCAGCAGAGCCGTGCGGGCGCGGGCGGGCGAGCGGCGAGGAGCGCGCAGGGAGGCCGGCAGCGGTGTGGTTAGTGGTCGCGGACCAGCGGGAGGACGAGGCTGCGGGAGGAGAGGCTGCGACCGAAGGGACCTGGCGCGGGGCCGGGACAGATGGGGCGAGCGGGCCAAGGGCTGCGAGCGGGAGGGAGCGGGCGCGAGGGGCTGGGGCCAGGCGGGGCGGGGGCCGGGCGCCGGCTGACCCGTGTCTGTTTTCTCCCGCCCGCCCGCCCCGTCCCTGCCGTCTGTCGCGGCCTCTGCAGGGCCGGCTCCGCCATGGACTGTAGCTGCGTCTCCGACCTGCTCTTCGCCCCGCCCGCCCTGCCGGCTCTCTGGACCCCCGGTAACTGGCCCGGACCTCCCCCACCCCTCCCCAGGCCCACCCCGGGGAGCCGCGCGCCCTTCTCTGTATCCCTGTGTGTGTCACTCTTGTCCGTCCGTGCGTGACTGCATCTCCCCGGGTCTCGGTCGGAGCCCCCTGAATAAAACCTCTTCATGAAAAACTTGGCGAAAAACTTGAGGGCCAGATTTCCCTGCCACCTGCCTGCTGGGGGAGAAGGGGGGTGTCTGTGGGCGGGAGGGGGCGGGTGGAGGTCAGAGAGCGATGCAGATGCCGGGTCCTGGGTCTCTCCTCTGGCACCTCCCAGCTGCTCCTACCCACTCTTGCTCTGTGGGAGCGGGGCCAGGCCGGATAGAGGGACACACAGGAATGCACACGCAGCCCGAGCCGGGAGACTGCAGCTTGCTGGAGTGGGTGCTCTGAGCTGGAAGAGGGCAGAGGGGCCGGCTTGGGTGGGCATGTGAGCTCGTCACACGCTGCAAAGGAGGATACTGTGTGCGCACGCATGCATGCATGTGACAGAGGGCGAGCCTGGGACTGCGTACCTGGTTGTCTGGGGTCTCCCCTTGGAGTGTGTCCCTGCGTCACTGGAGTGTTTCTGGAGGAGGGGGCCGTACTGGGAGCTGTGTGCCCAGCTGCTGCCTGCCTTTGTGTGAGCTCGTGTGTCTGCTTGTACGTGCACATCGGAGCCACCTGCGCATCTCTGGGCTGGACGTGTGGACGGGGGTGTCCGCCGGGTCACCCTCCCCTCTCCCCAGGTCTGTCACGTGCGTGGTGTGTGGCAGTCCACGCATTTAGGGTTGTGTGGGTGGACGCGTCCCGGGCTCCGTGTCCCTGTGCATGGAGAGCACTGGGGACCATCGCTACACGTGTGCCGCTGCTGCCGAGGTTGGGGTCCTGGTTCTGGCTCTGGGTCTCCGTAGGTGCCACACACCTGAGCATGTGCGTCCCAGGACAGGCGTTTCTGGGGTGTCTGACACAGCCGCTTTCCCCGGAGGACGTGTTCTGGGTGCAGAATGGGCTGGAGTCCTAACTGAGCTCTCTCATCTGTGCTGAGAAAGGCCCCCGAAGGAGTCCTTCGGGGAGAAGGCGGTCTCAGCACCCACTTCTGCACTCCACTCCCTGCCTCCCGCCTCTGGAATGCTAGGAAGCCGAGACAGCGAGGAGCTGTGCTGTGGCCATGCTGTCAGCGGATGCAGGCACCCTGGTCTCTCGGCGCAGCCCCAAGCCCCAGGGGACACCCTCCCTGGCCTCCTTCCCTTTCAAGCAGCCCTCGGCTCATTAGCGACTAACCCTGCTGCCTGCTCGCACATGGGTCTGGGGTCTCCGAGGATGTGGCATAGGAGTGGGTACAGAAGCTGGACCCCCAGCCTGAGCCTGTGGATGGGAGGCAAGACAGACCCCCCATCTGCACCCACCTCTGGTGTTCTCTGGACAGTGGGGCCCAGGGTGCCCTCCGGGTGGGAGGTGTGCCATGCTGCGGGGGGCCGGGGTGTGAGTGCCGGGGCAGGCAGGTTGCTCTGCTGCAGCGTCGCCTGGGTGTCCCCCTGCTGCGTGTGTACCTGGGGACCGGAGGGTCTTGGTGCCACGTTCACTGTCTCCATCACACTGTGTTCTTTGGGCTCCCGTCTCCTCGTGCAGTTGTGTGGTTAGGGTCCCTGTTCTGAGGGGGCCTCAGGTGTGCTTGTGTGTGTTGTGATGGGTGTGCCGCCTGGCTGGCAGAGATGACCTGGCCCAGGTCTAGGCCACCCCCGGGAGTGTGGCACTCGGGTGGGTGAGGGGATGTCTGTGTGGCATGCCGCCTGCCACGGGCACCCCAGTGTGTGCACACATGCATAAGCTCACAGGTGCATATGCACAGCCTGTTCTAGACGGTGCTCTCACACACCTGAGCACGGATACAAGAGGACGTGGGGTGTGAGGGCGACAGATAGATGGGAAGAAGCAGGGACGCTGATGTGCACACGGGCCAGTCAGCTTGCGCCAGCGTAGGGTCCGTGGGGGTGGGGCGCGGTTTGGGGAATGGAAAGATGGAATAGGAGGTGAAAGACAGGGAGACTGCCAAGGCCAGGGGAGGCTCGGCGGCACAGGATGCACCAGGGACCTCGGGGCAGCAGGGAGGGGCTCCGCCTCTGGAGGGGTCCTTTCCCTCCATCCACTGGCCCCTCCCACCTTTCTGGGGGCTGGGGTCAGGCTGCACAGTCCCTGGATCGTCACCCACTATTTGGACAATCAGGGGACTGGACGGCGGGAATGAGGTTCCCAAAGATGCCTGAGTCTCAGGGCCAGGGCAGGACGGGAGACCTCCCAGGACCCACAGCCAGGGCCAGGCCACACTCCCTGCCTCCCCTCCCCAGGGTTCGCCTTCCCGGACTGGGCCTACAAGCCGGAGTCGTCCCCTGGCTCGAGGCAGATCCAGCTGTGGCACTTCATCCTGGAGCTGCTGCAGAAGGAGGAGTACCAGGGCGTCATCGCCTGGCAGGGAGACTACGGGGAGTTCGTCATCAAGGACCCGGACGAGGTGGCCCGGCTCTGGGGCATCCGCAAGTGCAAGCCGCACATGAATTACGACAAGCTGAGCCGGGCCCTGCGGTGAGGAGGGGCTGGGGCCCGGACCCCCAGCCTGCCCCCTCCCGCCTCACTGCCCTGGGGCACCCCGCCCCTGGGAGCCCTCCCTCTCCATCCCCTGCACCCAGGGCGGGACCCCAGCTCCTGCCGCACCCCTTCCTTGCCCTAGGCACTTGGTTAGGGGACTTCTGGGTGCCTCCACTTCCCCAGGCTGCTATACCCGAAACCCTGCTCGGGGTGGGGTCCCCCCATGGCCCCTAGGGCCCCCAGCACCCTCCCGGTCCCTCTCCCTGCAGCTACTACTACAACAAGCGCATCCTCCACAAGACCAAGGGGAAGAGGTTCACCTACAAGTTCAACTTCAGCAAAGTCGTGCTCGTCAATTACCCACTGCTGGATGTGGCCGCGGCTGCCACCGGATCCCCACTCCTGCTGACCCCCGGTCCCTTTGGAGGGACCCCCGGGCCAGATGCTCCCCCCCTCACCCCTGAGGTGAGTCTGGCTACCAGTGTCCGCCGGGCCGTGAACGCCCTGGGGAGGGGTGGCGAGTCTGAGCTGTGCCGCCTGCATTTCCCTCTCCAGACCCTGCAGACCCTGTTCTCTGCCCCACGCCTGGGAGAGCCGGGGGCCCGGACGCCCCTGTTCACCCCCGAGACGGACAAGCTGCGTCTGGACAGCCCTTTCCCGTTCCTGGGCTCTGGTGAGAACCCAGGGGGCTCCCAAGGTGCTGGGGAGGTGCTGCGTGTGTCTGAGGGGAGATGATGCGGGAGGGAGGCCCAGGGCGAGGCTGTGCACCTGTGCAGGTGCCTGCCTGTGTAGCCACAGTGGCAGGGACCTGAGGGAACCACCCTGGGAGGGCTTTGGGGCCCCGAGGGAGCAGGAGACGAGTGGGGAGGGGAGGAGACGGAGTGGGAAGGACAAGGGGAGGCCGCTGCACCCTCACTAGCCCAAGTAGGTCCTGGTGCTGGGGCGGCCCAGCCTGACCCACCCCATCCTCCCCAGGTGCCACCGGCTATTCCAAGCCCCCCGGCCTGCTGGGCCCCTACGGCCGCGCCTTTCCTGAGTACCCCTGGAACTTTAACCCATACCTCGCGGGCCCTTTCCCCAAACTGCCGCCGTCTCTATACCCCCCGCACTTCTACCCCAACCCTCTGGCCACTTCCCTGGGCCACCTGCCCTCGGCAGGGGCAGGCGCGGGCGGAGGCCCGGCAGCCGCGCCCCTGCTGGCTGCCACAGGGGAGAGCCTGGGTCCCGAGCGTCCCTCAGGCCTGGCAGCGGCCCCCCGCCTGGCGCTGCCAGGGGCCGGGGGTCCAGAGGGGGGGCTGGGCGGGAAGGAGGACAGCGACTCGGAGCTGGAGATCACAGACGTCAGCGGCTGCAGCTCCGACAGCGAGGGCGACGAGGGCCTCCCGGCGCCCCCCAAGGCCAAGGCAGGCAAAGGGGGTGCTGGCAGCTGAGCAGGCGCAGGCCGACGGATTCTGCGAGGCGGGGACCTGGACGGCTGCACCTGCAGCCTGTTCTGTTTGCTGTGTCCTCGATGCCCACCAAGGCCCAGGCCCCGGGCTGGGCCCGTCGCCGCCCCAGTCTCCTTCCCCAGCCCCCTGCAGAGGGGAGGGAGCAGGACGGCCTCCAGCCCTCTCCCCAGGCTCCACAGTTGGAGGGGGTCCCCGCCTGGCCCTGCTCCCCAAGTGCAATACGGCGCTCAGCCTCCCCGTCCTCCCCGTGCTGTGACCCGCGTGCTTGTGTAGCCGTGTCTCTGACCCCCTGTGCCCACCCGAGTCCTCACCCTTCCCGACAGGCCTCCCTGGGGCAGGGAGCTCAGAGCAATAACCCCGCCCCCAGCCCCGGCCCAGGAGGGGCCCCCTCCCCACCAGCTGCCCACGAACCCCTACAGCCACCTCCAGAGAGTTTACTACAAAAATAAAAGACGAGTGAGAAGTGGGGCGCCCAGTGTGGTGGGTGTGGAGGGGGGAGGGGCTGGGTAAGGGCTGCGGGGGGGGGGCTCCCCTCCCGCCCACCGCGGTGTGTACAGCGGGTTGCCCAGGGAGTTAACTGTTGAAGGAATGGACAGGTGGAGGGGCAGACCCGGGGAGTGGATGTCAGTCTGCAGGGGCCTGGATGCCACACCCAGCCCCGAGCTCACAGGAGTCTCTCCTTAGATAATATATATTAAAAAATAGACCTCCAATTCCGGGTATAAAAACAGAGCAAGGCACTTGGGGGTGGGGGATGGGGGTGGCCCCCACAGGCAATACTGAGACGGCCCGGGAAAGGGGGTCGCGATGACGCCCCTGGAATGAAGCCCTGAGTCCCCCAAGCGGAAGGTGGGGGGCAGAGAGGGGGAGCGGGAACCCCAGCCGGCCCCTCCCCCTTGTGGCCCCAAGGCGCCGGCTCCCTCTGCTCAGGCCTGGGTGCGAGATGCTACGGCGGCTGCGTGGGGGCAGCCCCTCCTGTCCTCTCCCGCATTCCTGTTCTTGAGAAAGGCCTGTGGGAGGGCGGAGAGGCAGGGTCAGGAGAGGGAGGACCGGAGCGGGGCGCCTCCGTGCCCGCTGCGGCCAGGCCCCCACTCACCTGCCTGGGCGGGGTCCTCAGGTGCAGCCCGGCTGGGGCACGGGGCTCCCCCCGAGCTGAGACAAGACGGGCCGCAGGCGGCACATTTCCTCCTCCAACTCCTGCGGGGCCGGTCGGTGAGCGGGGCCCTCCCCCGCCGGCTCAGCCCCCCCCCCCGGGCCCCCACGCACCTCCAGCTGCCGGAGGGTCTCCTCCAGGCTGAGCAGCTTCTCTAGGATGTCCTGGGTCTGCGGCGGGCTCAGGGGGCCACCCTCGGGGACCTCCTCCTCGCGGGGAGGCCCCGCCCCACTGTCTCCCTCCGCGGGACACAGGAGCTGCTTCAGGTTCAGCACTGACGGGGTGGACGGCCGAGTCAGGCACAGGGGGATGGGGACAGGGACGGGGGTGGGGGTGGGGGTGCTGGGCAAGGCGGGGCCCACGGGGACCGGGTCAGGCACACGGGGACGGGGTGGGGGCGGGGGTGCCTGGCGAGCCGGGGCCCACAGGATGAGTCAGGCACACGGTGGTGGGGGGACGGGTGTGCAGGGTGAAGGGAACTGAGCCCGAGGCGAGCAGGCTGCGGGAGGGGCTCGGGTGGGCCAGGTGCGTGTTTTGCAGCAGCTGGGCCTGAGCTGGCGCGGGGACACCCCGGAGGGAGGGGCAGGCCCGGGCTACCTTTCTGAAGGGCCGAGGCGGCAAGCTGGCCCTCGGGGCCCGGGCGGCTGAAGGGCAGGAGGTCACCGAGGAGTCTCTCAGTCCGGGCTGGGGGGCACAGCAGGGTGCTCAGCTCGCGCCTCCCCCTCCCCGCCCGGCCCCCACAGGCACCTGGCCTCACCGGTCTCACCGTCAGGGGGCGGCATCTCTCGGCTGCCGTTGCCGTTCTCAGAGTTGCTGAGCAGGGTCTCTCGGATGCTAGGGGGAGGAAGCGCTGGGTGACCCCACGCTCTCGGCCCCAGGAGGGGGCAGGGGCAGGGAGAGAGCTGGAGGCGGGGCGGCGGGGAGGCCAGGAGACAGAGAGAGAGGCCTGGAGCAGCAGACAGACGGGCCGCGCGGGCTGGGCACACCAAGGGCGCACAGGGCTGCGGCGCTGCTCTGGGATTCACAGGAGCCCCCCGGCCCCCTCACCTGCTTGGGCTGGGTCGGGACTTCGGGCGAGCAGCAGGGGCAGGGACCTTCAGGGAGCCGGCAGTCTCGGTGATGAGCGCGCACCAGCTGGGGAGACAGGCCAAGCCCCAGGGCCCTCAGAACCCCCGGAGCCTGGCCCGGGGCCTCCCACCACCCTTAGCCCCCGGGAGAGCCCTCACTTCTTCCGCTCTGACACGGTCTGCGCCACCAGCTCGTATATCTGGGCCTCCTGGTCCCAAGTGAAAATGACATAGAAGGCTTTGTGATCTGCAGCGGGAGGGGAGACCGGGCTCAGAGTAGGGTCCCCCAGCGCGCACCCATGGGTCCCCCACGCCCCCTCACAGATCACGCAGCAAATTCCTGGCGGCTCAAGCAGGACGTCCCTTCAGCTGCCCGCCATCCAGCACTCCCACTGGCCCCGGGCAGCTTCTGGGCGTGGCTTCCGCCCCTGCTCCCGCCCAGCTCCCCAAGTGGCAGCACCAGCCCCTGCAGGGTGGCTCTCCCCTCTCCTGCTCTACTTCAGTAAAACCCACACCCGGCCCCGCCCCTCGCCCAGAATAAGCCCTAGCCTGGCCCCGCCCACCCGTCACCAGGAACGCCTCCGGCCCCACCCACCAGGCCCCGCCCCCTCATCTAGACCCCGCCCTCCTGGTTCTCCAGAGGTTCTCCCTTGCTCTGCTCAGCGGACTGCCCTGGGCCAGCTCGGCGCGAGCGCGCTCACCGGTGGCCACCTCGCGGGTCATGGCGGACGTGAGCCGCAGCACGGGCCGCAGCATGGTCTTGCCGTCCGGCGTGGGCGTCAGCGTCCGGCTGTGGGACTTGAGCAGCAGCCGCTCGTCCTGGCGCTGCAGCAGCAGCAGGAGGTCGTCCAGCAGCAGCACGTGCACCTCTGCGGGAGGCCGCACTGGCCACTCAGCACCGGCCTGCCCTGGCCCGCCCCTGCCCCGCCTCGCCCCGCCCCTGCCTGCACTGCCTCCCCGCTCACCCACAGCCTTGTCCTTCGTCACCCGCCACGTCAACGGCCCTTCATGGATCAGCTTCTTCCGGGTGATGTCCAGGTTCTGGGGCAGGAGGGGGATGGTTGGTGCCAGACAGGAAGGCGGGGACGGGGGTGGGGGGTGGGGTGGCCGTGGGGTCGGCTGTCAGCGGGGTCTTGGTGGGTAGTCACTGGGAATGAGGTGGGGCTCAGAGCTCCCCGGGTGTTGTGTCACAAGGGCAGGGCAGGGGGCACCCACCTTGAACTCGCTCAGCATGGGGTCGCTGCTCTGCCTCAAGTGCGACAAATCCAGTCGTCGCTGGTAATCCTTGAGCCGCTGGGGCAGGAAGCAAGAGTGTTAGAAACGGGCCAGGCCACGCCCCGGGGCTGACCCACGCGACCTCCAGGCGCTAAGCCCGGGGATCCTGAGGACTGGGCCAACCCCTGAACACACAGCGACCTCGCTTGGGACAAGCCCAGGGCCAGGCCTGACCTCAGGCTGAGGCGGGCTGGCGCCTGCACCCAGGCCCTCGCTCCCCCGCCGGGCTCACCAGCAGGTCCTCCATGTCACGCACGGCTTGGTTGACGTGGTGCAGGATCTCCCGGCAGCACTCGGCCGCCCGCTCCACCTTCTCTCGTTCCGCGGGTTCTTCTGCGGGTGAGGGAGAGGCCAGCCGCCGTGAAGCCCGGCCCTGGGAGCCCCTGGCCGGAGGGCGCGGAGGGCGCGGAGGGAGGAGGGCGCAGAGGGCGCGGAGGGCGCAGAGGGCGCGGAGGGCGCGGAGGCCGGGCGGCCCTGCGGGTACCTGTGTTCTGCCCGATACTCTGCAGCAGCAGCGGGTACTTGGTCAGCCGCTGCATCTCCGTGGGGATCATGTCCTTCAGCTGCAGGCGGCGGCACCGCGGGCGGCTCTCGGCTTCCTGGGGGGAAGCAGTGCTGAGCCGCCTGAGGCTGGGGCTCTCCTGGGCCCTGGGCCCCAGGGGTCCGGACCCCGCCCCTCACCTGCACAAAGGCACAAAATCGGGGCTCCTTTCGCTGCTTGGCTTTGAGCTGCTCTAAGGCAAAGGACTGGCGGCTGCAGAAGCGGGAGGAGATTTTCTGGAACCAGGAGCCCTCCGCACCATCAAACTACGGCGAGATTTGGGTCGGGGAGGCGCGTCAGGTGGGAACGGCAAGGCCAGGGCCTCGCGAGGGGTGGGGATGGTACCCTAGAGTAGGACAGGCCTGGGGGCTGGAGTCCTGGGACTTGGGGGCAGCAGTTCAAGGCCTGGCCCCGGGTCCCTGGCTGGGAGGAGGGGACAGGGTGGGGGTGCTGGGCTGGGCACCCGCACCCGGGCCAGCAACACGTCTCCGATCTCTTTGATGAGGTAGCCACTGTCTTGCCTCCGCTTCATCAGGTGATCCAAGAACAGGGCTGTGAGGGGCAGAGGGGAAGCGGGTGCTCTGTCAGGGCTTGGAAGTTTCTGCGCAGGGCCCGGCTGGGAGCAGGTGTCTGGGTATGACCCTGGGGACTGGTGAGCCCGGGCCCCACCCTCAGGCGTTTAGATGGTGTCTGTCCCTGTGGGATGTGAGCTCTGGGGGTCCAGGGCGGTGGCCCCTGTGCTGGACACAGGCTGCTCGTGGTGGGTGCTCGGGGAGAACGTGCCGGGCCCCAGACCCACAGCACCAAGGCCTCGAAGGAGGCAGCCGGCGTGGGCGGAGGGCCACAGCCCTGCACTCACAATGCACCTCGATGAGCTCGTCCAGGCTGGGGAAGATGTTCTGCAGCTCCTCCAGGGGGAAGAAGCCCCCCTCCGCCATGGGCTGGTAGAAGAGGTCGTGCAGTACCCGCAGCATGCGCACGTGGGCTGCCTCCGTCACCAGCAGCTCTGTGGGGCCAGAGCGGGGAGCGTGGCTGGGGAGGGGCCGGAGCGGGTGGGCAGTGCTTCCTCGAAGTTGGCAGGGTATGAACCCTCTGGTGGGGTTGTTTGCCCCCTTAAATAGCCACTGAGGACCCCTCCACCTGCTGCAGCCAGCAAGGGTGGCCAGCGGTCCCCATCTGCCCGTCATGGGGAAGTCCTAGGCAGAGCAGGACGAGCTGGTCACCCTGCCGCCCGCCGCCGTGGTTAGTGTCTAACCGTCCAGCGCTCTGTCTCAATCCCCTCCACGCACAAACACACGTCAGTGGCCTCAGCTCTAGGCACACCCAGAAGCCCTGGCACACACGTTTCTGAGAGAAACTGCCACGCTGTCCGGTGTGGCAGCCCCTGGCCACACGCGCCTCTTCCCGTGTGAGTTAACTGAAATGG